TTTCCCTAGTCCAGCGCCCATTAGGGCACCGGTGGGACCTAATTAATATGTGAGCCGTGGTGAAGGCTTCACTTGTTCATGCATCGAAAATCATACCAAGCATCTACAGTTCGTTAGAAAGCAAGTACGAAAGTTTGAACTGGTAAAGTACCTCTGGCATTCCCGGTGCTCCCTTCGGACCTTGGTATCGGAAAATCACCACCATCCCGGCCTTTATCTCTCCTGCGGCGAGCGCGGGATAAAAGCCGTCGAGACTAAGGGGGACGCACAAAAATCAGATCGCGCAGTCAACGAGGGATCCAAACCGACTTACGTGTCGAAACACTTCGCCGTTCCCTGAATATCATGGTCAGCAACGAGGTGTTCTCGTTCCGAATAATCTTTCTAATAGCCTTACCTCAAAGTGCAGGCCTTCCGCACCAGTCAACTTCGCCACGGCACTGCCTGGGCAAAGGCTTCCGCGCAGAATCGTGATGTGTCCCGTTGACTTGATCGGATTCTCGAGCGGTCGCACAACATCTTGCGAGGTGAAGTCCAAGTCGGGTACGCCTTCGAGGTTTTCCGCGATAGTCTTCCCAGTGACGGTCAGTTGAGAGCCGTCGATGAGGTCCGTATTTTTCAGCAGGTACTTGAGCAGTGCCGGGATGCCTCCGACTTTGTGAAGGTCTTCCATGTAATATTTCCCAGAAGGCCTAAAAGAATAGTTCTGTGAGTGGTATCAATAGTGAGAGAAATTGCGCTTTACTTGAGGTCGCAGAGGTACGGCGTTCTGTCCGCTATGTCTTGGAAGTCATCAATAGTGAGATTCAGATCCGCACATCGAGCAATGGCTAGAAAGTGTAGAACCTAGACGATATACTTCAGACGTGAAAAGCATCAGTCGTACACCAGCATACGTACCGCATTGGTTGATCCGCCAAGAACATTTATGATAACAATCGCGTTCAAAATTGCGTTGCGTGTAATTATGTCTCTAGGCTTTATGTCCTTCTCAAGGAGATGCTTCACGTAAACGGCCGCTCTTCGACACTCTTGCGCCTTCTCTGCAATGGTATACCAGTTCACCAACTCAATCAAGGGGGAAATGAATCACAGCGTACCTGGATACATCGCCGGAATGCCTGAAGAATATGGAAGGGACATTCCCATAACTTCGAGAGCAGAACTCATCGTATTCGCGGTGTACATGCCACCACAGGCTCCAGGAGATGGGCATCCGTGCCTCACAACGTCAAAGCGCTGCTCGTCCGTGATCTTCCCGACCGTATAGGCACCTTGATCGAGCAATGCGTCAGAATATTTAGGATAATGCGCGTAAACGCTGGACATACCGAAAGATTCAAAAGCATCGGAGATGTTGACTGTGTCTCCTTTCTTATATCCCATGGCTGGGCAGTCAACATGCCTTACTCCGGGCTGGATGGTACCGCCATAAACTATGACAGTTGGCCTGTTGTGTCGAAGTGCTGCCATGAGACAACCAGGCATGTTCTTGTCGCATCCTGGGATCGAGATGTTCCCGTCATAGTGTTGCGCCTATAAATGAATCGCACAGTCAAAGCGCGAAACATTAGAGTACTTATGATAAATACCATCACTACCTAGAGCTCATCCTCAGCGGAGTTCAAAGAAGAATAAAACAAGCTTACGGATTCAATGGAATCCGCGATCAAATCTCGACTTGGGAGTCTAGTCACGACGTCAATGCCAACTGGGTCTTGAAACAGATCAGTATCCTACGAGTAACGCATGCCTGAACAAAGATGTAAATAATAATATGACAATTCGAGAAAAACAAAAGCGAACCATCTGTGCCCATGGTAATGGCATCGCTGAAAAAACAAATCAGTTGAAAACTCATCGAAAATATTTCTAGGCTGACCTGACGCCAATAGTATTGAATGTGAGACCCACGAGGCCCTCTTCCGTGCAGCCCTTCTTCACTTCACTTGCAAGATCGAGCTATCGAAAATCTCAATCATGAGTTTGTGCCTCCGTGAATACGAAACACAAAAAAAGACAAACCAAGTGCGAGTTGCACGGATTGCCTAAGGGACATTTAGGTCTTTTTATTCGAAAAGTGTGCAGCTTTCGTACCTTCCCACCAAATTGGAGAAATCCCAATCTATAAGTCCGTCAGTCGAAGGGATTCGACTTCAAGTCAGGAGTCAGAAACGCACTTGTGGTTTGTTCATGTCTTCTTCAGTCAATCCAACCGCATACACTGTTGTGAATTAAATAACCGTCTATAGGAAGTAAACATCCCAGTGAACTCACGCATGGCTTGGGCGCCTCCGCGAGCCTGGAGAATATTCCGGAGTCAGAAAATATGGACCTGAAATCCCATACGTACTTTGTTCTGCGTCAATTGGCCCGAGAACTTGTTAAGGCTTGCGCCATTTCCCGCAGGCTTCGACAGAGTGTGTCTGAAAGCGAGTTGAATGGATAAGTAGACATGACTGCTTCCTAGAATACCAAAGCATGCATTTGAACGTCACCGGATGCCATGGTTGTAAGTCGGTCCACAAACACCAGTCGCAAATGGATTTGAGAGAGTGGATGATAGGAGAAATACGTTCTCAGCGTCGTCCTCTGGATTTATATATGCTCTTTCCCGGACCGAAAGTCATGAGGTCAGTTGTAATCCGATCTTCGCGATTGGGCTCGGGAGCTGAAGCACTTGTAGAGTCCGACTCCGATGAGGGTTCCGATTCGAACTTGACCTTGAAGTGACTAATCCTTAAGTACTCGGGTGAGAGGAAAATCAAATCATTAGAATAAATGAAGATGAACTATTGGAAAGGACGCGTTGCAGGAAACCCACTGGCACAGAATGACATGGATCAAACCTGAAAGGCCTGAACGGCGGCATCCGCGTTCGGACACGGACACGTGTACACGGGATCGACAGGTTGAGGTTCCGCGTTGACGTCCATCTTCATTTTTATCGTCGTTTCCTTCTCAAGTATCGAAGAACACAAAGTCGTTCCAAATTTGAAGCTGCTGGGAATGTCGTCCAAAATACTCCACGAGCTGGTTTTTGACAGGGATGAGGGATTAGAACGTTGGCTTCGACTCGGAACACCAGAGCCAGAGCCAGCTCCGAGAGCGCTAGATATATACAATCAATGGCTCTCGATGCTCACCCTACGAGATTCCGGGTTGCTATATGGTGAGTTTGTATGCCTTCTGTAGATGACTTCTACTATAATCATAATTACAGTGGTGGCGGGATTAGTGGACTATGTCTAGCCGTGGCTCTATCAAAGTTCGCTGATATAGACGTCCAGGTCTACGAAGCAGCACAGCGCTTCAAGGAGATCGGAGCTGGTGTCATGATTTGGAGTCGAACCTGGCGTATTTTAGAATTGATGGGATTGGCGGACGATTTTTCGAAGATTGCGCACGCCCCTCCCGATGGCTCCCCAGGTAATCGCCTTCGTTGGGAAGCAGATTCCGAGTTTTTCATGAATGATCTGTCTCTAGGCGTTGGATTTGATTACCGAAAGTCGGACCAGCCTGAGGAGGGATATAGGTTTCACCTTGTGGAATTCCCATGTGAGTGATAGTTGAGCTTGTTTCACGACTTCGGATTCGTGCTGAAATTCTACTCACAAGACGGGTGCATTCGCTTCCATAGAGCACAATTTTTGGATGCTTTTGTGAATCACTTACCAGAAGGTATTGCTCACTTCGGAAGAAGGTTGCTATCCTATACTTCCCATGAAGATGGCCAAAGCATAGAAATGACTTTCGCGGATGGGTCGTTGGAATATTGTGACGTTCTCATTGGATGCGACGGTATTAAATCAATGGTCAGAAAGCAAATGCTCGAACGAAAAGACGCCGATGGATTACCCGGTCTCCGCCGCTTTGTTGAGCCTGTCTGGAGTGGAATTACTGCATATCGTGGATTAATCAGCTCGTCCGCGTTTTCGAAAGACTCTAACGGGCATCTACACAGCGCGACCCAGAGGCCAATGATGGTAAGTACCAATTTCGATTTGCTCTATTATGACGTCTCTGATCGCCTCTGCAGTACTGCGGGCACAGCAAAGTAGGCATTGGTAAAGCACCACACCTTATAATGCTGATATTTGATCTCGTGTAGCATGTCGTGGCTTACTCGATTGCTCAAGGAGATCTTGTCAACGTCATTACGTTTCATACCGAACTGGAGAAAGAGAGATCGCCATTCAAGGGTGAATGGGTTACGCAGTGTAGCTGCAAAGAACTCCTTGATTGTTATGATAAGTGGGAACCCGAAGTCGTAGATTTGCTTCAAGTGAGTACCAAGTATTTTATCTGTCGAATATCAGTGAAGTGAATAAATTAGAACATCGAGAATCCGACGAAATGGGCATTGCACTACATTGACCCTCTCCCTTTCTATGTCGATGGTTGTGTGGCTCTCGTTGGCGATGCGGTCTGATAATCAACCATTTCAGCCTATTAACCTACTAAATGCTTTTTTATCAGGCGCACGGTATGCTACCACATCAAGGTGCCGGTGCAGGCCAGGCGATTGAAGTGAGTTTCGCACAGATTATATCGCGATCCTGTATTTCGCTCATCAATGTCGAACGCGTAGGACGCGTTTCTTCTGGCTCAAGTACTCGGTTATGAAGGCGTAACCAAGGAGTCACTGCCGGAAGCTCTTCGGGCATATGAAAGCGTCAGGCTACCTATCGCAAACGAAGTGCTTCGTGGCTCACGGGACTCTGGCATGATGTATGAGTTCAATAGTGAATTTGGGCAAGACTTCGAGCAATTGGGGCCCGCTATACAGAAACAATGGGATTGGATATGGGAGAGTTCACCGGAGGAAGACGTTCAGAAAGCGATCGATCGTCTAGCTGACGGCGCACGCTCTCCCTTGCTGTAGATTCAATTTGCTGGAGGTTTTGTGGAATCTGGATGCTATTTGCCGTAAATGATTTGTATATTATGTAAGAAAAACTTTCTTTGGTTATATATGTTTATGATGAATGGTCATCAAGTCCCTGGTAGTATATCGGTTAGTACACGCGCCTGTCATGTTCACAACGCGCGAGAGCGGAGTTCGATTCTCCGCCAGGGAGTTGTTTTTTGTACTTTTTGTATTTTCTTGCATTTTTATTGCTCAATCTGTTCATGCATCTTCAACTTCTGTGATATTGTTTTGAACGAAGGCAAATAGAAATTGATGTCATGCGGCAGCATCTATTGGGTCTCAGGCAGATGTGTACTTCTATGACAAATGCATACTGGCTGCATCTTGCAGCCCCTAACCAGGGAGAGGCTGTAAAGACATGTGCATATTCTGGCTCAGATGTGCAGAGAAAGAGCAACAAAGAATAAATTTTAAAGGGGTTGTGAGGGGATCAGTGAGGTGCCAGAGAAGAATAAAGAACACCAGTCGTGGGAAAATATTGGTAATCTGTTTGTCTGAGTTTCAGAGTCTGAGCCACATGTTCCTTGCTCCTTGAACACCATCTCCTTCATCCCCTTTCCACCCATCCCCTCATAACATACCCTTAGAGCAAGACCTATTTGCCTGCGAGGCTCCAGTTTATGTCAGAGATGGAAGTAGATGAGCTAGATTCTGAATATGGCGACGCCGAAGAGTATGAGTACGAAGTCGACGAAACCGACTCCGGCCCGAAGCCCTTCAGCATTAAGTGAGTAGTCGGCCACACCTTTTCTCCATAACAATCTCTCCCGTCAGTATCACTGACTCTCTTATTTTCTTTCGATTGTTAGAACTGCCCTACCTGAACCTACGCATGGCCGACTTTCGACTCAGGATCTCCATAAAATGATTCACGACGGTGAAATTGACGTCAATCCGGAGTATCAAAGAGGTTCGCCTTATAGCTATCATCTCCAAACACCGACTCAACTCAGAAAAACAATCTATTTACACTATTTCAGATGTGGTGTGGCCTGCAGAAAAGCAATGCGCTTTAATCGAGTCAATTTTCCTCAACTACTACGTCCCCCCTCTGTTATTTGTTGTGAAAAACACCGAAGAGGAGGTTGTTAGAGTTTGCATGGATGGTAAGCAAAGGCTTACATCTGTGCAGATGTTTTACTCCGGACAGGTAATGATTTTGTCACAGTCATTGGAGCAGTGATATAACTCATCTTCGGCAGATTCCTTGTAGGCATAATATCACGTTACAATTTACGCCTCTAACAATCTGTAAGACAAGGATCCTCGCACGGGGAAGAAGTTTTATTATACAATACCAGAACATCAGAAAGGCAAGCGCGCTCTTGTACCGCAAAAGTTCAAGGACATATTTGCCAAAAAACTGCTTAACTTTGGTAAGTGGGTTTCGGCGGTCTGTGATCATTGGCGAACACTTATTCATATCGTTGATGTAGTCGAGTATAGAGATATCTCTGAAACGGTGGAACGCGATATTTTCCAACGCGTGCAAATGGGCGTGACATTAACCGCTGCAGGTTTGTAATGACCCATTCTATATCTCTAACGCACTGAATCATTTGCATGCGCGATAGAGAAACTCCAAGCTATCTCGTCGCCTTACGCGGACTGGATCAGGACATTGGACTCTAAGTATGTACAAGCACAGGAAGACAGCGATAGTTTATCGCAGACTTTGGACTGGGACATTCGACGCGGACGTAACTTCCAGTGTTTGACTCAGCTCGTTTTCTGTTGTCTGCAACTGCCCCAACATGCAGACGCGACCTCGGCAAAGAAACTTGGTACCTGGTTGACTCGTATCGATGGTCCACCTCCGAACTTCAAGAAGCAAATCGAAGACTGTCTACGAGAGTTTTATACCATCGCGTCAGACGAGACTCTGAGTGCGCCGTTTAAGACAGTTAAAGAGCGAGTGTCGCCGATTGAATTCGTCTTCATAGGTATGACAAGCCCTCTTCATTCATAAGGCGTTGATCCTCACCATTCGCTATAGGTGTTCTCATATACGTCCTGAGCGATTATAATTCGCAATTTAAATCGAGCGAGATCCAGAAGCTCCGATTGACGGTCAGGAAAGAGCACAAGGATCGTCGATTCAACACACGCGTCCAGTCAACCCTCTGGAATTTCATTGACGAAGCGAAAAAGAGGGCTACTGGGACTGTCGGTATAGTGGCGATGAAGAAAAGAAAGAAAGGCGCTGACGAAGAGGACGATGACTATCGATCGGCACCGGTCAAAGCTGTCGGGCCAGCACCTACTACAAGGACGAAGAAGGTGAAGCAATAGGAGTGTAAGGATGCCGTTGGAGGTACGAATATCTAGAAGAGGGTCTATGTTATAATTTTGCTTTGTACCGAATTTACCCTGTCGGACCACCTCTTGCGCTAACGTATGTCACAGTGCCGTTTCTGTCTACGCTTCTGGTGTATTTCATCAAAAGCTTGTCCCGTTCTTTGTTGTCAGTAGCGATGTCTTCTAAGAACGGTGTAATCTCATCCAATTCCCAAGACGACTTCGTTAGGAACAGATCCGCAAATCGTTCTTGAGGGGTTGCAGGGAGATCTTCGGCAGAGAAATATTTCAATGTAGTCGCTTGGAGACGAATATAATTACCCTAAAACTCAATTCAGAAGAGCTTCCTCGATCACGTCTTGATGAAAGCTCACCTTCAGAAGAGCAAGATCAGCTGCAGCTTCAAAGCTGTCCCCAAGTGCCGTGCGCCATTGCGACGTAAACTCAGAAGTTGTTATCGAGGCCTCCTGCAATCATGGTGAGCATGCGTGATGAAAAACGTGCAAGCGGAAACGTCCTACTCGATAACGGCTCAAAATCCCAAGCCCTATTTGCCTTGCAACCGCATGGACGTCCATTTTCCATGTCGTTGTCTGCGAGATTGAATTCAGGGCATCTCCCAATTCACCGAACCACGCCATGATTTGGAGCATGACATCCCTTGATATATCATGATCAGACTGAAGAACTTCGACAAGATCCACGACGGGAACCGAATCCTTTGGCGCGTTCAGAGATACGAGAGTATTGAGCATCAGTTCTAGAGCGGTGTTGAGATAGGAAGGCGCCAGAGGACGCAGATAGCCGTTGAGGTTGAGGATACGTTTACTACGAAGTGCTTGCTCTAGTTCTTTGTCACTAGCCTGTATTGCTCGCCGAACGTCCGAATGAGATTTCCATTTCGTTTGTACCTATACGACCATAGATTAAGAGCCTGAGGAAAGTATTGAGCATGGAGGTTCAACGCACCTCCGAATCCACCTCTTCTCTACCCTCTTCATAGATTTGGTCTCTCAAAAGAACCTTGATTTTGAACGTCTTTGGGATTGTGGGAGATAGCTCTACGATCTGCTTGACGGTATCGCTGATGACAGCTTCTCTCCCGTCCTCCTGCGAAGGAGTAAGGATACAGTACGCGTTCGAAAGTGTGACCGCCTTCATCAGGTACGTCTTTTCGCCTGTGCAAAGAACAGCATCGTCCTCTCCAGTGCCTCGTATCGACAAACTGTTCCAATGTTAGTCCTTGTCGCTGAATGCTTGGGAACACGACCAAACGTACGAATTGTCATCGATGTTGGACTCAATCAAGGCCACCAACTCCTTGGGGAGCTCCAAAAGTTTGTATTTCCCCTCATCAGACCTCGATGGAAAGGAAATGTTGAAAGTTGGCATTTTAGGGTGCAATTGGCAAGAAAGTGTCAAGGACTGTCGTCGCGTCGCGTCGGGCGCAAAGTCAAACAGGCGACGCGTCACAGGCTTCGCGTCGTCGTCGAGTCCACGCAAGCTTCCTCTCGACGTTCATCATCTCATTGTCAATCTTCTTTTCATTTCAGCTTGGGTCTTTTCAACTGAAGGCGGGAGAGACAATCTTCTCTCTAATTATGGCTTTACGATCCTCGGTGGCCCAGAGTTTTTTCGATGGCAACATCGTCTTGAACGAATGAATTCAAGGGGGGTGAAAACGAACCTTTCCGTACATTTTTCAGCGACGCTGCTCAACGAGCGCTCAATATCGTTCACATGAAGTAGTGAAGGTAGGGAGTTGGATCTCTTGTTGGTTGGTTGGATCTCGTTCTGACCTTTCGCATAAAGTTCACTTTGTCGATTTTTGGGCACTGTCACCGTATCGGTCGTATCACTCGTCCCAGGTCGCCGTCTACATCCACCGTTCTATTACTCACGTCCGACGTGTTCTTCCGTGGGCTGTTGATCTTCTGGCATCAAGACAATTTCTTGCGGCATGACGCGCCCGAGTCCACCACGACCCAACGTGAGATAAATATCGACTATTCGCGGAATTACAGCAGTTTTTGCGGAGCTCCTACGTTGCAATCGTACGGATACCTCGGAGGATCGTTGTGAATGATTGAAATCGATCGTCTCATTGCGAAGACTTGTGCTTACTTCAGTCAGTCTACGCTCTTCTCCTTCGACAGCTGGCGTATTTTAATTTTTCCTTCCCCATTTCCGCTTTGCAGGATTTCTCGTGCATCCCAGTTACGATTCTACTCCTTCGTGGCGTAGGGGAATTTGTACGTGGGAGCTGACCGAATACTTGGATTAAAATATACTCAGAAGCAATATGCCAGGGAATAGGACACAAGAACTTGCGAGCTTCTTTCGAAGAAAGAAAATACCATGATGGACAATTTTATACAGGCATCAGAGGAGCTTATATTTCAGGCAACAGGGCACCGACCTTGAGATAATTTTGAGCTTGCCGAGGAAACCTAGGTTGAAAGTATCATCTTTTTCCAATGTCGACTCCCACTGCGATACATCGTATAAATGTTTGAAACGTTTGGCACGGTGCGTTGTCGCATTTATGTCCGCGGGCGAATGTACTGAGCTCTGAACGTTCTGAGCGTTATGGTCTCGATTATAGACTCGATAGGTCTTGGGACAGTCGCTTCGCCGATTAGGCGTTTAACGCGTCGGCTACTCGGTTATGACGGTGTCAAAGCCAAATTGTCCCTCAGCGCTTTCCAGTGGTTCGGGCCAAACCGTCGGATATGGGATGCTGCCTGAGATATTCGTTCAATTGGCCGTCGTCGTGATCAATCCTTCGTTCCTCACATTTCATGCACGGGTATACTTCACGCATAATTTGATTCGGTCTGAGGTCAATGG